TTTTTTTTCTTTTTTTTTGTTTTTGTTTTTTTGTTTTTTTTTTGTTTTTTTGGTTTCTCTGTGTAGCCCTGGCTGTTCTGGAACCCACTCTGTAGACCAGGCTAGCCTCGAACTCTCGAACTCAGAAATCCGCCTGCCTCTGCCTCCCAAGTGCTGGGATTAAAGGTGTGCACCACCACTGCCCAGCTCTATTGGCATTTTCAGTGAGGGATAGTGCTTTACTTCATCCAAGAACTGCTATTAGAAGAAGATTTAATTAAAGGTAGTGAATTGGAGTTAGATCTGGAAGAATCATTTCAGATGAGAAGTATCTCATGTTAAAAAAGACATTGAACAAAGTCAAAGGACAGTATATAAAGTTCAGAATGTCCATGAGGTTAAATTTATTTCCTGTATACGCCAGAATTAAAACCTTTCAATGTAATACATCTGATACCCATGCTTCAGTTTAGAAGCAATGACCTAAACTTGAAATGGCAACCGAGAGAGGCTACATGGGAAAGACAGGTTGGGACACAAAAGATGCAAACCTCTCTATTTGCAGATAACAAGGTATTTTATGAGAAAACCTCAAGAAATGTATAAAATACTATGAGAATAAAACACAAGCTCATTGGTAGTTGAGTCTAACAGTAGTAAATAGTAGCCCACTGTACTTCCATGTATCTACTCAATATTGCCAAGAAGAATAAAATAAACTTAATATGGTAATTAGAGTCATTCACAAAACTATGAAACACTACTGAAAGAAATTAACAGAGATGAAATAATGGAAGGACAGCCCAAGTAATAGAAACACAGCTAAGAGTGCAGTACAGTATAGATTAATCTCTGTTCTTGTTAACAATCTCAGCTGTCTGGTAAGTTAATTCTAAAATTTATGTAGGAAATACAAGGGACCCAGAGTGGCCAAAACAAACTGGAAAAGGAGTAACAAAGTTGGGAGCATTTCTTGGTTTCACACTTTGCCTACTGCAGAGTAACAGTGATCATCAAGAGAGGGATTCTGTCCTAACAGTGCAGCTCAATATGGGCGACTTGAGAGTTACAATAAAACCTGACAGTGTTAGTCAGAGGGTATCTACAAAAGTAGCAAGGCAATTGAATGAGCAGGGAGAATAGTCTTCTCGGCAAATAGTAGTGAGATAGCTAGATGTCCACATGCAATAGAATGGACTCTAATTCATGCCATCAACAGAGATTAACTTAAAACGGCTAACCGTATAAAAGCTATTAAAATAAAAAGAGTATGTCTATTTAACTTTGTATAAGATAGTGATTTATCACATACTTCAACAACAAAAAGCAACCAAAGAAAAACAGATAGGTTGCACCTTAAAATTATAACCTCGTGCAATTTAAAGATGCTGTCAATCAATTAGAAAAGCAACTCATAAGATGTTTTTAAGCTTTTTTGTAATTAAATAATAAGTGACATAATTGTAAAATGGGTAAAAGATCTGAATAGACAGTTTTTAAATAAGACATAGAAATGGCAACACCTGGCAATTTATTCAGTATCATTAGTTTACGGGGCAATCAGAAGCATGGTGAAATGCAGTTTATTCCTTGTATGGAGGTTATCTATGATCAAACACAGACACTAGTGGAACCCTTGACACAGTGGCAGGAAAGAAAATAGTACAGTTAAAAATACATTCACTAGCTTATCAAAAAATTCCATGTTTAATCATGAGAACTATATGTTGACACAGAAATTTATATAAAAATTGTTACCTATAATAGCTAAAGGGGTAAACAAAGCCAAAATACTTATTAGATAGTGAGTGAATAAAGAAAATGTGTTATTCTGGGTAATTAAATATAATTTGATAAATAATGTGATAAAATTCTGACATGTATTACAGCTTGAATCATTGTAAAATTACTGTTGTAGCATAGATAAAGTGTTATTTATTGTATGAATGTACTTACAGGCAGTGTTCAGATACCTATGTCCATAGAGATAAAAGAGCCTGGTATTTGTTAAGGACAAAGGAGGGAGCTTTAAAAGTTGTTTTATTTTTTATTTTTTTATTTTTTTATTTTTTAAAGACAGTCTCACTTTAAAGACAGAGTTTCCTGGCTTGCCTGGAACTTGCTATGTAGACCAGACTGGCTTTGAAGTCACTGTGATTCTTCTGCTTCTACCTCCTGGATTCTGAGATTAAAGGCTTGCACTATCATGCTCTAATGTTTATTGACCTTGTTCTCTGACAGTTTCATGCATGTATAAAGTGTGTCCTGATTATTAGTAACCCCTCCCCTCTAGTCAGTCTCCCACCCGTTACTCTTCCCTCCTCTTCCGTACATGTTGTCACTTCCTCACATTTAAGACTGCCATTGTTTATGAGATCCATTGAGTTTAACTGGGATCATCTGTGTGACTGTGGGTTTGGAACAATCTGTAGGAGTCTTGTGGGCTCCTCATTGGGTCTATAACCAAAGACTGCTTACCTCTGGCTCTGAATCCATCAATAGTCAATAGCTCACCAAGCAGGGGTAGGGCCAGAAGACCCTTCCCAGATCCATGATTAACTATTGATAGGCCCAGTCTTGTGTAGGCCTTTTGCAGACAGCAAAGCTGTTGTGAGTTTATGATGTACCCAGGAGACTGCAGTTCATAGCCCTCTCCCTGTCTTTTGGGTCTTAAGTTCATTCTTGCCTCTTTTCTTCAATGATCTCTGAACTTGAGATAGGTAGTATAAATGTTCTAAACAGAACTAGGTAACCGTCATTTCTTCTCAGCACCGCAAGCAGCCATGTACCTCTGCATTTACCTTGTTCCCTGCAGACAGAGGCTTTGCTTGATTAGGGCAGGGAGTATTTGTCTTTGGGTATAAACAAACACGGGTAGACAGTTGTCTGCACTCTTTATTGAAAATGTTCAAATGTCAATTTATTTCCTTAGGAAAAGGGATCCCAATTGTTTAACAACCTTCTTTTTCTTTTTTTCTTTTTCTTTTCTTTTTTTTTTTTTTGTTTGTTTTTTTTGGTGTTTTTGGTTTTTCGAGACAGGGTTTCTCTGTGTAGCCCTGGCTGTCCTGGAACTCACTCTGTAGACCAGGCTAGCCTCAAACTCTTGAACTCAGAAATCCGCCTGCCTCTGCCTCCCAAGTGCTGGGATTAAAGGCGTGCGCCACCACCGCCCGGCTGCAACAACCTTCTTTTTCAAAGCCAAGGTTTGGAAAGTTGCTTCCTTTGGAAAGTTAGGGAGGTATATATTATTAGTTCCATCAAGAAAACTTGTAAATTCTTCAAAGATGTATCTGATATTATATTATATTTGATTTAAACTTAAAGTTGGAAATATATTTTAAGTTGTTCTAAGTGGAGTACAAAACAACATATATGTGCAGATCTACTATTACTATTGACCAAATTTTAGTACATGGAGAATAACGTATCATATGATAACACATGTTTACAGGTAACCTCATTTTGCTGATGCCTAAAGCTGAGTCCTTCATGCTGTGTGCGTGTGTGTGTCTGTGTGTGTGTGTGTATTCAGACATTCATTGACTGTTTTGCTAAATAGGACACTTATAGCTCTGCAGTGGCTCATAAGCAACAAACTTTGTCTTAAAGTAGAAGTTAGTACAGTATAGATAAGGATACAGCAACAAAAACCAACTTTAGAGGGTTGGATACTGAGGCTGACCTTACTGAACTGCCCATAAAAACTTTCATTTAAATGTCTTGGTTATCAGAATGTACTCAGTCTCAGGTCTCATTCTAATAGGAAAAGGTAAATTTGATTGATTATGAGTATCCTTGCCGGGCAGTGGTGGCGCATGCCTTTAATCCCAGCACTCGGGAGGCAGAGGCAGGCAGATTTCTGAGTTCGAGGCCAGCCTGGTCTACAGAGTGAGTTCCAGGACAGCCAGGGCTACACAGAGAAACCCTGTCTCAAAAAACCAAAAAAAAAAAAAAAAAAAAGCAAAAACCGAGTATCCTTATTAAATATTGCTTTCTTTGCTTTATATACTAGAATTCTTCATATGATGCAATTAAGTTTTATGCAGTTGGTAACTTTATATGTGGACTTCCAAAATTTTGCACGTCTGGAACAAAAACAAAGTAGAACAGTGGTCACCAGGCTGGGGACAGGGGTGGGGATGGTGAAGCTGTCCATCGATGGACACAGTTTCAGTTAGAAGTAAACTCAAGAAATCTGTTTTACAATATAGTGACTGTGGTTAATAATGACTACTTGAAATTACTGAAAAAGTAGATTGTGTTAATAATATTAAAAAGTATATACCATATATGAGCGTTATAATTGTATTAGTATATATGCTTATTAGGTTAATTTAGTTATTCCACAATGTTGTAGACACACATCAATTACTTTGAAAAATTAATAACTTTTGTTTATAAATGAAGAAAATAAATAAAATACAAAATAATTACACAAAGATTTTCAAGTAGGAGTCCAGAAATCTTCCAAGCACTGTTTCTTTTTTTAAAATTATTGTTATTTTGTCTTCATTGTCACTCTTGAGAGAAATTTTAGAAATGTTTCCCTCACCCAAAAATATGTCAGGGAAGAACATACTTTAAGCTGGGAAAATTTTTACTGACTTTAAATAAATCTTTCCTTTTCTGAGGTTCAGTCTCAGAATTTGTATCAATATTTATTATTTTGCCAGTGGTATTTGGATAATAATACTTACCATAATTTTAATATTTATGCATAGGAAGGGACTGAGTTACTGTAGCCTCCTTTCTTGGATTCATGAGAAATAGGGTTAAATATTGTGAGAATCATTAGACTGCTCCTTCTTGTGTAGAAACTTTTGTGTTGATGTTTATGTAGGATGAATAGAAGGGGCCACTGGAAGGTTATAAGAAGTGTATGTAAAAAAAAAGTGTATGTTACAGGGTTGGGTGGAAGGAAAATAGTAAACAAATAAATATTGTTGAGAGCCTAGAATGCATGATACTTATTAGTACACACTAGACCCTGATGACATGTTTCCATTCTGTTCCATTCTTAGGTGATCATGGAGGAAGCACTTTACTCCCACCGACTGTCACTAATGAATTTCCAGAATATGGGACCATGGAAGAAGGGCGGGAAGGCCTCAGAGCCTCTCTCGACTTTGATGCAAAGTCTCCACCATGCCGCCTGCCTGGGCAGCAGGCAGTCCACCTTCTTGCTGGACAAGACTCTATGCTTAACAGTGTTACAGGAGGACCAAATGATGCCCCTCAGTGTCACCCTCAGGAACAACGTTTACAACCCATTGACTCTTTAATTTCTGCGCTGAAAGCTACGGAAGCCAGAATTGCTTCAGGAACATTTCAAGCTACAAAGGTACTGGACAAAGATGCTAATTTTTCAGATAAAGAACTGAGTACTGCCAGTCATAAGGCACAGAGAGCCCGGAGAACATTCCCTGTCGGCTCAGGAAAATCACCAGATATACCTCTTTCAGTAGAAGTACCAGCGGAGGAAAAATTCTCTTTGCACATCCAGGAGGATCTGACTGCACTCTTACCGGAAGAAGCTCAAGCACAACTGTCCCAGATAACTAATTACAGGAGGCAAGGGCCTCTCCATCTGCCTAAGTCAGCATGTCCTGTGTCCTCGAGCTCAGCAGGGAGCCATAATCCTGGGGAGAGAGTTGGTGCTTTAAAAGATCAGACAACATCTCACCATGGAAGAGAACACCCTAGAGGATGTGATCGGGGTGGCTCCATGGGGCGCCAAGGCCGGATCAAACATGTAGAGTTTCAAGGAGTAGAGATACTGTGGACAGGAGAGGAGGCAGAGAGCTGGCATTCTATAGGCTTTGAGACATCACCAGGAAGGACAGCCTCGCCTGTGAGCAAAGAGTTTGCCAAAGCCCCAAGTCATTCAAGCCCACCTGCTGGTATGTGCAGCAACTCCACTCGTTTAACTGAGAGGGTTTGCGATGAAACATGCAAAGCTCCTTCAGCAAGGCCTGACACGAGCTTAGGCACACTGTCCCCTGTGCCTCTTGGGGAGAGTGGAGAAGATGATGTCTTCCTGAGAGAAAGCAAAGAACACCTTGAGGAGAACTTCGATATACAGGGAGATAAAGAAAGGTAAGTTCTAGAGTTGTCATGTAATTTGTGATGCCTGGAACATGCTAGAGAAAATTGCCGCCTGTGCTGGAAGGGGGAGCTCACCACACCCTTCCACAGTCTTGCCTTAGCTGTCAGTTTGCTTTACAAGATTGTTCCTATTTACCTGGAGTCAACTTTGATGGCCAAAAATATTAAATGAAAAATTCAAAAAATAAATAATTCATGTTTTATGTAACTTTGTGTTGTTACAGTTGTTCCATTTGTTATGATTATTAAATCTCTTACAATGACTGATATGCACTAACTGTATCATAGGTATATATGTATAAGAATGACATATTTAGGAATTATTATAGTCTCTGATTTCATGTCAATGGCAGTTTATCCCTATGCGTAAATGTCCTTATTGTCATAGAATGGAAGAGAGATTTATAATCTAGGCTATTCTTAGATTATATGTTTCTAAGTCAGAAAAGTGATCATGTAATGAAGTTGTCTGTTAGCCAGGAATCAAGGGAGGAATGTTGAAGAGACTGTGAACACTCATCCGTGTAAATGCGTTTTTGACATGAAAGATTAAAACTCTATCGACATCTCCTATGCAGCCATTGCCGCTCATCTGGGCCTTCCTCTGAGTGGAGACAGTGGTTCCAGTGCAGCATGCATCTAGCCTGTAGTGTTTCCTGCTTTCCTGTATGGACATAGAGGTTTGGGCCATGTAGTTCTCTATGGCTGGAAGGGCATCTCAGGAGGTCAGAGGTACACTAGACTCCAACTTGTTTGTTCTATGATATTTTCTCACAAATAGCATGTGTTCTGATGTATGGCCAGGATAAGTAAGTTGGTATTTCCTGATGTTTTCTGGCCTTCCTCAACATTTCTCTCCACTATTTCACCTTAGAGCCTAGTTATATGGAAGGCACAGCCATCTTTCTTCAGTCTCTCCGATCATGGCTGGCCATTGTTTGGACAAGTCATTTGTTGTATCCTGTACTGCTATTCCATGAATGTTAGTCTTCTGTCATTCCTCAATGCACGTGTTATAGTTTATCGTTAGTGGTTCTTAACCTGGAAGTTGAATGGCCTTTTGTAGGGCAGGCCTAAGACCATCAGAAAACACAGATATTTTCATTATGATTAATAAAAGTAGCTGCATTACAGTTATGAAGGAGCAAGGAAATAATTGATGCTTGGCAGTCCCCACAGCGTGAGGAGCCGAATTGAAGGGTTACGGCATTAGGAGGCTTGAGAACTGCTGTATATGGTGGAAAGTGTCTGTAGGGATGGGTGTGTGTCTGTGTGTGTGTGTGTGTGTGTGTCTGTGTGTGTGTCTGTGTGTGTCTGTATGTGAGAGAGAGAGAGAGAGAGAGAGAGAGAGAGAGAGAGAGGCAGAGAGAGGGGGGGAGGAAAGGGGAAAGAGAGGGGAGAAGGAGGGAAGGAGGGAGAGAGAGAAGGGGGAGGGAGAAAGAGAGAGAATATGTTTTCCCTAAATGCTGATAAATTTAAGATGAGGCTCCTTTTGGGTGACTATCCAGATCACAAAATCTCTAGACTTCTATTAAAAGCAGCCTTGATAAGTTTGTAAGGAGCACATGACTCTGTCTTCGTATCACACTGAAATGCGCACTTTCGCTGCTATTAGACTAGAAATTCATTGTTTCCATCTTCCTCTCTTCCCTCTTTTCCCCTACAAATATTTTCAAGTTGCTTATTGTATTCCTGACCCTGTTAGATGCTGGACATGAGATCCCTGGTCTGTGAACTTTGGTGTTAAATATACAAAGTGACCACATACACACTGTCTAGATCCTGTATAGGAAAAGAACAGCAGTCTACTGGGAAGATGAACGAGTGGATAGGAAGAGGCTCATTCAGGTGGCAGCTTGGACAGTATGTTTCTGTAAACATGTTAGTTAAGTAAGACTTGAGAACTGAGGGAGTTAGCTAGACAGAAAATGGGCAGTGAGGTCTATATAGGATTTTTTGTTACCAATGAGAAAAAATTATTTGTATGCAGTGGGATGACAGTAAGTAAATACCAACAAAGACAATCATACTGTTGAGTGTGGATTCCGGTAATACCTAGGAATTATTTATGAGATATTTAATAGATACTTCTTACTTCTGGTTTATTCCTATTTATAGGAGACAGAGGTTCATAGAGGTTAAGTAGTCACCTGGAATTACATGACATGTAGTCAACACAGCAGTAATTCAGGTCCATGTTTTTCTAATTTTGATCTACCGCTCTGACCACCGACTTATCTAAGTTATCCGAATGTTGATTTTAATATTCAAAGACCATCCTGGATATTGATCCTTCACATAAACATGAGCTAAACAAGGACAGCAATAATAGACATGCTTACGTGCACAGGAGCAAGGATGGAAAAGTCCAAGAGACCCTAACCCTACCCATGAGAAAACAGACAGCTAAAGGAATGCTGAGATCCAGAGACACAGTCCAAGAGACCCTAACCCTACCCATGA